TAATTGAACTTAAGTTTTGTGGCTATAAGCAAAACAAGAAACAAGTCTTTGGTAGGCTAATTTCTTCGCCTAATGGTTGTGGTATGAGAATAACACCCCTTTATTTTCTGGGAAAGGTTGTCCTGAACTGGTTGATCGCCCAGGAGAACGTTGTTCCCATCCCAGGGGCTAAAAATGCAGAACAAGCCAAGGAGTTCGCGGGTGCTCTTGGTTGGAGGCTTGGCAACGAGGAGATCGATGAGCTTCGATCATTGGCGTCGAAAATAAGACCCGTTGTAAGTTTCCCGGTAGAGAAGTTATGAGCGTTGCCAGCATTATTTGTATATATTTTGCTTGAAGAATGGTTATGCTTAAAATTTGCATATTATTTGTCTTGCACTGCATACATTTTTTCTTGGCTAATATTGTATGAATATGTGATACAACTAAATTACTTTTAAGGGATAATTTCAGAAACCTCCCTTGAGGTTTCTGATAATTTCATTGACCTCCCCTGAGGTTTCTACAATTACACTGACCTCCCTCGAGGTTTAGGATTTGTAACAAAATCAGCCCATGATATCAAAAGTGAGCATAAAAAAGTGTTTTTAGAAAAGAGAGGGCAATTTGTTCCCATAAATGCCTCTGAGGTAGATGTACAAGCTACATTAGTGAAATAATGAAAACTAATAAAAATCAGAAATAAATTAGAAAAAGCGAAGGGATGTCAGTGAAATAAGGAAATGGAGTCACTGACTTTATTTGCACAAAGTTGCAGCAACGGCTACCGCTATCTTTTGCAATGTTGAAGAATACGACACAACTGACAAATGAAGAGGTATTCGAACTTAAAATAAGAAAGTCATGAAATTATATGTGCAATAGATCTTAGCGGAATAGCTACAACTTTATGGGTCATTTTGCTCTACTCTTTGATATTGAAACTTGGAAGCAGTTGGTCTATCAGAGGTAACGAGTAAAGATCATGCATTAAACTTGGAAGACTTTTTGAATTAATTAGTAGTTTAAATCATTTCAATCACAAAATAACTAAATCAACCAATACACATATTACTATGAAAGACACCAAGTCTAAAAATCTACAAACACAAATAACTATCAAATCATGTATACCCAACGAAAAATCAAATCCCAAATCACATTGCATGAAGAACCAGATAAAAACAACTATCTGAACCTAGGGTACTATCAAGTCGAGTCGAACTCGAGTAGTGCACTACTCGAGCTCGACTCGAGACAAAATAACTAAGCTTGAGCTCGTCAAGCTTTTAAAATTCGAGCTCGAGCTCAACTCGATAGCTCTAACGAGCAACTCGAGCTCGAGCTCGAGTTTGGTCAACCGAGCTCGAGCTCGAGCTGCTGACCAAGTAGCTCGCGAGCTCGAGCCGAGCTCCTTGGTTCAGCTCCAACCCTATCCAGGATATAATCCCAATACAGTTTAAATCCCATAATTTGCAAGAACTATTATATTAAACTTATGGAGCATTTTCTGCTATTATGAACTAACTTAGCCATGTGGAGAACCTAAATGCAGAAAAAATGAAGATCATTATCAACGCACACACCTTTCTCACTTTTGCAATGTCCTGCTGAATTGCAATCCAACAATTCACTGAACCAATGTGAGAAAATACCTTAGCAGAGGAAAAGAAAAATAAGAGAGGAAAACTATTTACAAGCTAAATAGCTTAGCGAAGGATCCTACACGGCAAAAAAGGAAGTAAAAAAAACCGACACAAAGCAAGATAGCACCTATGAATTACCATAGGAGGCAACTAAGGCCAACGATGAAGATCTGTATTAGTAAAACATGAAACCACCACATTTTAAGATCGGAAGAAAAAAGATCATGCATTCATAAAGCGTTGGAAAAAAACACAAGAGCAAAAAATGCCAAATGATTAATGAGTTAACAATTACAAATAATCATTTCTTAGACAATAATTAATTCAATTCATTGTAGCTAGAGGACTGAAATGACTAAAAATCCAGCACTTTATTAGAATCAAAACCCGAAGATGTATGAAGGTTTCTTCAGCTTCCATCTTCATTATGTTTCTTCCTATTTTTTTTTTCTTCTCCTTGATGCCTTCTTCACAATATATAAAAGACTAATTTGTTGTCTTGTTCCTGACGTCAATCAGCAAAATGGCGCCAACTGGTTAAATGCATTTTTTATTAACAAGATTCCAACTGGTAAGTTGGTTAATAAAATTGAAAGATTTAATTTGGACCCTAATAACTTATTTATCAGATTTCAGCTTTATAATAACACACAAAGTCTTGGGTATAATAGTAATTTTATATTATATGATGTCAAAAATTGGGTCCCAAGTTCTGCCAGTGGAGGTTAGTGTAATTGTGGAAACCTCAGGGGAGATCAATGAAATTGTCAGAAACCTCAAGGGAGGTTTCTGAAATTATCCCTACTTTTAATTACTCGAATAGATATGACGATGATGATAATTACTAGTAAATAGATGTAATATTGGCCTTTTAATTTATTAAATGGATGTAACAATATATTTGAATGTTACATGTAAGTAAATATATTATCAGTCATTACACCCGGTTTTTCCAAATGCAATGATCTACCAAGTTTTTCTTCGCATGGTTTTGTTCTCTAAGGAATGCAATCTATGAGTTGCCTTTTGCTCCGATCCCAAAAAAGAGATTATTGGATAAATTATTTTTGTGAAGCTAAGTTGCTACATGGTTGATGTAATATTATGATAAACATTTCTACTCAGCCTTTTCTTCCTGCACATTTTTCTTCATTTAGTTTCATAACCACTACTTAAACACAATAAATTGGTGATTATACCCATTTTGGCATTGGTAATAGCCGACAAAGTTCAACTAGAAACGAATTGAAGATTATCCTTACTTGAAGAGAATTGAAAGTGGTCTAGTGGCTAAGGTTGATGCCCCCAATAAGTAGGCTTATTAATCGGACCATTTGAGTCGGACTTAAACGAAACCATCCTTGACTCATATGGTAAGTGTCACTTTCGGATATCAAGTTATAAGTTTTGAGTTGATAAATGCGAAATTCATAATGATCAACGGTCAATACATCTTGCTTGTACTAAAATTTGTTCTTCTGAATCTTTTGACATAATTTTGTATATTTAATATTTCTTGTATATATCAATATATTATATATTTAGATTCAATGAAAGGTTAGTCTCATCGAACTTTATCTCAAACCAGATGAGTTGAGTTTACCGATAAGGTCTTGGGTTCATAACCCTTTTATTTCTTCTCTGCTTCTTAAATCTCACTCCTTTTCTATTAAAAAAAATAAAAATAAAACAAAAGAATTGAAGGAGTTCTCCAAATATAAGCAAACAACGGCTTAGTTTCCAACCATGTAAAAACAAAAGTTAAAAAATTTCAACGGACACCTTGAAGGTAGTTGCTCTACGTAATTTATCGCTACCATAATATATTCAACAACCCTCTAATTTGAGTCATTTTTCCAATTTAATTTTACTTGTCCAAAGATTCACTTTTGGACGTCTGATTATGGTAGTGTTTTGAAAATGGACTAGGCCGATCAGTTTTTTAGGCTGGTTGAACCACAAACTGGCCATTCTTCTAGTTCGGTTCAATAGTTAATCTAAAAATTCAATCAAATCGATTAAACTCGATCAAAAATCGAATGAACTGGTAAAAATTGAGAGGGTCAACAGAATTTCGCTACAAATGAGGTTGAAGTCAAATCGATTAAATCGCAAATGGAAAGCTCTTTTGATCGCTCCTCAGTTCGGGTTTAAAAACATTTACGGGTATCCGAAGTGCACCCACAAGACAAACTCGCAACAATTTACTTGCATGGATATCGCTACGACCATAATAGCATATGCGTGCAATAGATATAAAATTGTCGTGACTTCATCAAATCCTCTTAATGCTTCACCACTTGAAGGCTAATCAAACGATAAATTTTGCACAACAGTCCAAAACTAAGAGTTTTTGAAGAGTGTGGGATACTCTCTCATATTTTCCATTGGCAATTTCTTCTCGAACCACGTCATGATTAATTCATCGCTCAGTCTTTTCCCTTCGATTTCCACATAATCAACGATGTCACGTTCACAAGTACGAATTTTCACTTTCAAATAAAAAGCAAAATTTTCTAGTTTTGCACGCCACCTTCCCCCCCCCCCCCCCCCAAAAAAAATGGTCCATAGAACAAATTATCCATGTGCAAGAACACCATTTTAGTGAACTTTTGAATGGAAATGTTATCTTTGACATCTGACCAGTCAATCTATGGGCAGAATTATTAATATCCCCAAGTTCAGGAAGCAAACTGTAAATAACCATGTTTTTATGTGTGTGTGTGTGTCTCTATTCTAATGTCACCAGTATTTGTTCCTATATTATTTCTGAGCATTGGCTCATTGTAGTTAGAAAATAAAAATAAAAAAAAAAGAAAAAAATTGGGATCAGGGTCAGCATACACGTGTCAACACAAATTTGCAAGATTAGATACCCAGAACCTTTTTATCTGCTGGGGCTGCAGGAGAGGAGAAGTTGTAGATCTCAGCCAGCTAATTGTTGCTATCACCTCAGGGTCCCATTAGACACAGCCAAATCCAATACCCGAATGCCGCTTGTAAAGCAGTGCTGATGTCTCCCTCGTTGTCATAAAAGCAGCACCAACCAGCAAATCCTATACTAGCCCCGTTGAATTTTGTCGGGTCTACTGCCCTCAATCATCGACTTCTTCTCGAAGGAAAGAATTCGGATTTTCTATCCCACTTCCTTCCTGTCTTACTAATTTCAATTTTTATTCTTCGTTTTCTTGCTTTAAACGGAGACATGCATATTCAAAGTATTTTACGCGTTGGCTTTGCAAGTAAAATTATGCGAGACGACGATAAAGTAAAGTGTTTGGATTGCATTTTTTATGAAAAAATTACTATAGTGATTTGATGTATGTGAGAAAAAAATGTAATAGAAAAATATGATCACGAAAAACGACGTAATTTTTCGACGAAAAATTGCAATCCAGACAAGGCAAATTTGAAATACGTTTCGGCGTATGACGTTACAAGGAGTGAGATAGAGGGCCGGAGATGATTGACGGTTGAGACGAGAATTGGAAAAGAGGAGAAATATTTGTTATGAGATGAGTACTATTACACGGCATTGAGAGAGTGAGTGGGACTACATTAAGGACTGGGACAGGTTCTTCCCCCTTTCCTCCTGCTGGCTCTGATAGAGATATTCTGGAGGAATAATTTGTTTTCTGATTGAAATCTGATATCCCTTCTTCCTTTCCTGAACAAGTGAAGCATCACAAACAACAATCAGTTTGTAGCTGTACAACATTTCCCCAGGTGGGCTTTTTTTGCTTCTTTCTTATTCTTCTATTTATTTCTAGTGTACTTGAGTAAAGGGTATCTGAGCACTTGATTTGCCAAATTTTCTATCTGTGTTTGTTCCTTTTTTAATCATTTGTTGATTCAACAAACTTTGTAATCAATCATTATCTTAATCTTAGTCTCTCTCTCTCTCTCCTCTCCCTCTGTGTGTTTGACTTTCACAGACACAGGCATATAATATATGCCTTCACAATATGGTACCACTAGTTAGCTGTGTTGCATGTTTTGAATGATGTTGTTAATCTTGCTTCTTTTGGTAAGTCTGCACTACTAACTCATCTATCATTTCTAATTTCCTTAAGTGGAATGATTAAGTAGTATAGTAGTAGTAGTAGTACTTAGTTAATTATTGTTTCTTGATTGTGGTCTGACCCTCAGCTGTTTTATATTCATTTCTTGACTTCAATTTGTCCTGCTCTTTCTTGCTTATTAGCTGTAATTTGGAGCCATGAATCCTTGCTTTCCGGATTGGAATTTTGGGGTTGAATTCCCAGAGCCCATTCTGAAGAACAAGCCCCTGGGGTAATTACTAATCAATTCTTCTAAACTCTGCATGCTTGGAGCTGATTAATTCAAGAAAGTTGTTTCTCTAACATGAGTTTGTGAAGTTGCTAACAGTGCTTTAGTATACTGCAGAATGGACAATGAGCTAGTGGAGCTGTTGTGGGAAAATGGACAAATTGTGCTGCACCCTCAATCTCATCATCACCACCATCCAAAACCAGGGACTGCTGATCAACAAGAGAATCAATCTAGGCAGGTTGACAAACACAACCATGATCAATCAGTGAGCAGAGGCAGTACAGGGGGTGGCTCTTGTCAAAATCAGGTTACTAGTTTGATTCAAGATACTGAGACAGTCTCTTGGATTGATGATCCCTTTGACAAGGAATTCACCTCTGACTTCTTATCTGAATTTCCAATCTCCAATCCAGTTGAGCAAGGTCCACATGAGGATGATAAGTTTAAAAAATTTGGCATATCACAAGACCTCCACAACCATCCTGTCCAGTTACCCAATGATAAACCTTCTGATGTCATCAACTCATTGCCTCCAGGATTTCACAACTTTGATTCTGCTCAGCCCAATCATTCCCATTTACCAAGAGCTGCTAACGCTCCTTTGTCTGCCAAGGCAGATTTGAGATCCTCAAGTGATGGAGTTAGCAATAGGACTTTGGGAGGTGAAGCTAGAGAGTATTCTTCCGCCAAGACGGTTGGCACCAGCCACTGCGGCAGCAATCTAGTAGTAAATGATACTGATACAAGCCGAGTTTCGAGTGGTGGGATTGCTAATCATAGAGGTTTTTCAGGAGCTATGGCCAAGGATCATCGTGTTGGGAAAATGAGCTCTCAAAGCGACGGACTTCAAACAGATCAGACAGAGGAAACAGCAATTACATCATCTTCTTCTGATGGATCTGAGACTAGTTTTGGGAGAACATGTAACCAATCAACTGGTACCAATTCTCATAAGAGGAAAAGCAGAGATGCAGAAGATTCAGAGTGCCAAAGTAAGGTAAGCAAGCTGTGTCAATTTTTTAACTGTATTTCTTCAGCCTAAAGGCCTTCTTTATATGGTTAAAGATCAATACCAAGTCGTCTTGCATTCATACTCCAGGCCGCTGAATTGGAGTCAGCTGCCAGAAAGAAACCAGCAGTAAAATCTGGGAGTTCACGCAAAAGCCGTGCTGCTGAAGTCCATAATCTCTCTGAGAGGGTAGGTTACACCAGTCCATGGCTTTGCTCCATATGCAATGACCTGAATATATTCTAGAAAACACTTACAGAATGTTAATATCTTTTCTTCAGAGACGGAGAGACAGGATCAACGAGAAGATGAGGGCTTTGCAGGAGCTTCTTCCCAAGTCTAACAAGGTCTGAAGATTCTTCTTTCTACTTTATATGGTTTCTGCTGATTCGTGCAATTTCTGGCAGCTTGATTAACTATGTCTTATCTACCTTAAACTTACCTCTAATAGTTTCATCGGCAAAGATTCATGGGGCATTAATTAGGCTGAAGAAACAAGATATGCTTCGGCTTTTCTAAAATTGCATTAAGAAGTTATTTCTAAACAAGAAGTTTAACTTTTGCGATCTGTATTTTAAAGTATGCTATATACCAAAGGATGCACCTGAAACTAGCTTTTAATCTTGAAAAAAAGCTACGACTAACAACTGAGCTGTGAACTTGAGAAGTGCATTATGAAGTACAACTGCACAGGGCACAAAATCTGTATCAAGTTTGAACTAGGTGGTGCAGTAATGACATCCTAGAATAAAATTAGTCCTAATAGCTACTTTCTTTTCATTGAACAATGAATGTAAGGCGTGCCAAACAAGATGAGAGAATTTTCTCTCACAGTCGAGCACTTCATCCCTTAATTTTAGTTTCTACAGATTTCTTATGCTTCCAATTTGCCTCATCTTTTCCAGACAGATAAAGCATCGATGCTAGATGAAGCTATAGAATACATGAAATCCCTTCAGCTACAACTTCAGGTATGCAAAATTGCAGCATATATATAGCAGAAGCACATTTAATAGTCAATCACTGCACACTCAAGCTACTACTCTGTGGTCATGGTTTGATCAGATGATGTGGATGGGAAGTGGAATGGCACCAATGATGTTTCCTGGTGTCCAACACTACATGCCCCGCTTAGGGATGGGAATAGGCCCACTGGCAATGCCTTCCATTCACAGCCAGATGCATCTCCCAAGGCTGCCGCTGCTTGATCAAGCGACAATACCAAATCAAGCTGCACTATGCCACCAGACCACAATGTTCAATCCCATGAATTATCATGCTCAGTTGCAGAATTCCAAATTATCTGAGCAATATGCCAATTACATGGCATTCCACCCTCTGCAGAATGCATCACAGGTTTTATTACATTCTTCTTTAACTCTTGCTCGTTAACTGAAGCATTTGGGTTGCGCAATGCTACAATGCTCAGTATCACGTATCAACAGGATATCTGTGACGGCTCATATGCTGTTGTTTTGTGGCATTGCAGCAGTTAAACGTTTTCGGCTTCGGTTCCAACACAGCACAGCAACATAATCACTCGTTAGCCCCATCTGGCAACTCAAATGGACCCTCTGTAGGATGAGCTGCAGCTGATAATGCTAACTCCGGAGCAGGAAATACATTAATTATGCTGATGGATTGGTGACCATTACATATGAATATGTACAGATTAGGTCTACATAGATTCGAACACTGAAGCTGGGAGATATTTGCTCATCGCATGATTTATTGAAGAATGAGAAAATGCCTCTCTATGTTTCTTTCTTGTTCATTTTCCCCCTCCAATTACATCAATCTATTCAAGGTCCAAGAGGAAAGTTACTTCATGGTTTGCAATATTCAAAGTAGTTGTAACAAGTGCGTACAAAACTCAATTTAACATCGCCATTGGAGCAGTGTTAGCATTTTCCACCCTTGTACATTGTCCTTCCTTCAATATCTCTCGAATGCCTGACAACCAAGTTCACAGGGTTCTCCACTTTCACTTCAGTTTTCAGGAGCAAGACTTGGCTAAGGTTGTTAATACGTAATAACGATATGTTACTACTTAGTAGTATAAAAGTTGAATTACAATTTTGGTCCCCATATTTAGGGTCTGGACCAAGATGTTCCCTTTTATTTTACGCCAAGCAGGCTTTAGTCCCTTGTCTTTGAAAATTGAACAAATTGAATTCACCAATGATTGACTGGACAAAACCAAGATCATGTTCCCAATCTTTGTAAATGCAAGACTAATTAATAGTAATCAGATATTAATTTGAGCAATCAACTAACAAATAGACCCATTAATTGCGCCACCTGAGAATGACCTTTTTTTTCCGTTTTTTTTTTTTAATTTAGCATTATCTCATTCTAAATAAAATTAGAGAAAGGAATTTTCCTGAAAAATGAGCTTCAACATCATCTCTCTTTTTTTTTTTTTTTTTGTAAATACAATTAACTAGACACAATGCCTTAATTACCAAACGGTTCAGCTAATTTTTGCAGGTTGTATAAAAATATCCTTGCCAAGAAATTCTGATAATTTTCTTAATATTATTTGTATGCACGTTGAAAATTGAAATAGATAGATCTCCCTACAATTCAAGTTGCAAAAGCGTAAATAGATATTCCCACCGTTCAAGTTGCGAAAGACAGATCCACTTTCATTCCATGTTTGCCACTATACCCATTTTCTTTCCATGATTGCTTATCTTTCCCATTTCCCACTTGCATGTGAGATTTTATTTTTGCATCTCCATTAATGACCACACAGGTTTTCTTTAGTTGTATTGACATCTCAACTTCAATGACCAAAGCATATTAGGAGAATAAGGTTAAGTTGATATGCTTGTTGAGACTTCAGGAATTAGAGATGCTGCATTTAAATTTCTTTTCTGTCTCTCCACTTCTTAAATTCCACGTTTCTTCTACTAGAAAAAAGTATAAAAAAGAAAATATAGATTTGCTTAAAGTATAATTGTATAAGAAAAAAAGGGGGCACTTAAACGTAACCTTATATATATATATATATCTATTTGAGCAAAAAGAATTCGATCATTGAAATAAATTAGGAATGAGAAGTGGAAAGTGCAAATACCTCAAATATTCTAGTAATGATTCTGTCATGCAAAGCCCCGTTTGGCAAGTAAGTTTTTTGGGTGTTTGTCTAAAATTTTACTGCAGATTACTGTAGAAGTTTTTTAAAAAAAAATTTTGAAGTGTGTAAATTTTTGAATATTTTGAAATGCATAGTTTAAAAACTGTAAGAAGTTTTTGAGGTTACTGTAGTTAAAGTTTTTAAAAAACTTGTAGCAGGCAAACTTAGCAAAAAACTCAAGTACCAAAGTACATTTTCCTTTTCGATCTGACTTTATTTTTAATTTTTGGTCCGACATATTGGTCTTGTATTCAAATTATTAAATTGATGTATATGAAGAAAGTGGCTTTATCACCAACAGTGAGATTCCAGACAAGAATGTGCATTGTCTATGTTAAACAAATAACAATGGGTTCCACAAATGGATATGGAACTCAAATGGATAACACATTCAATATCAGGCATCATTAGCCACTCATATATGGTGGGGCACTGCCAAAACTCTTGAGACTGTGTACATCCTTTCCTTCCATCTCATTGTTGATGTTGAAAGGTAGAAGGACAATTTTCTTGTTCAGCTCTTTGTGTTTTTTTTTTTTTTTGAATAAATAGGTGACAGATATGGATGTTTCAAGACGGCCATCCCAATTACGAAAACATGTATTTAATGTGCTTTGATCCGATGACAGTTTCCCTATATGTGATAAGATAGCAAAAGTGGAATAATTCTCAAGTGAATCATTCTAGCATAAGTTTGTTAAAGTAATTCTTATATATACTAACAGTAATTGTACTGATTCAGCTGATTGTATGACATATATATATACATATACATACATAATTGGAATTTTAAATTCGAATTTACATTAGTGGCATGCATCCAAATCTATCAATATATGCATTGTCAGTGTATAGAAAAATAATATAATGTACTAATGTAACGTATATATTTCATTGAGAGATAGAATCTTTAGGTACGTAGATGAGTAAAATGTATAACTATGAAAGATAGGTATAGTATGGACAAAGTAATCATACATTTTTTAGTAGTAATGATTGGCTACTAAAACTTAAGATACATTTTTAGTAGTGATGGTGAATTTGGATTCAAGAGTGGAATTCAAATGAATGAGCTTGAAATCAATAGATTTGAGATACATGCTGATTCATGTAAATTGTTTGGCTAAAAGAAAAACCCAAAATAGATAAAAATTTACAATTGACGAAATAATTGGGACGAAATAATTGGGTAAAAAATGAAAATGTTAGGGCCGGATTCATATCAAATTTTGCAAATTTCTTTTTCATTTTTTGCAGCTTCTGTTCTCTTTTCCTCCAGCAACAGCACTGGCCACGGTCACTAGCAGATGTAAAGGATTTTTTTTTTTTTTTTTTTTGGTGAGAATCCAATTGAAATCACTTTAAAACATTAACAACTTATGTAATTGAAGAAATTAAATTTTGCCCCATCAGAAGATTTCAAAAATCCTTTCACATCCCCTTAAAATATTCAGCACACACTTATATTCTTGTAAATTCTAGACTTTGAGGCCCCAAATTTCAACTTTTGGTTCCACCCCTATACATGGTAATAAAATTTACTCTCTCAGATACAAAATTTTGTATACACTTGAGAGTTTTACACAATACACAATGGGACAAATACCCAAATCTATTTCTTGATTTGGTTTGTCTACTACTTTATTGGCGGATGTGACTCGACAACGAGGACAAAACCCTATCTAATATTCTATGTTCCTTGCACTCGAGATCAATGGTTGAGGGAAGAGATGTAGAGAGGGGTTTGAGTGTAAGATTTTGAAATGAGCCAATTTGGATGGACATGAAACACACAATTATGTAGACCATTAGAATTTCTCCAACTATGGGACGCATTTCAAATCTAAATTCGTCCTAAATAATCCCAATGATACGAAGAGTTTTGATGAAGGATTTAAAATCCAAATTCTTCGATCCGAGCGCAGCCTAAAATTAATTTAGGCATTAAAAGTTTGGAATTAAATTGAGGGCACAGTTTTCACCAATTCCACTAGCCCCACGATTAATTTTGATGACAATGAAAGAGCAAGAAGCTCATCCTCCAAATCATCATCTTAGGAGCGCTTGGTTCAAGCCTAAAAATTGGAATTATAATTGGAATCACGTCCAAAAATTCAGTATCGAGTTTGATCAAGAGTATAATTACACTGACTAGTGTTTGGTATATATTTATCAGGTTTTGAAATCAACTTATTTTTATTTTCTTATCTTAATTTTTTTCTTCTTTCCCTTTTCCTACTTCCTTCTTCTCAGCCCTTAAGTATTCATGCTTCACCAATTTCTCTTGAACCACCACCTGATCAATTTCAACGAAAGAGCAAGAAGGTCATCCTCCAAATCATCATCTTTTTTTATGGCTTTTGCTGATGAATGGAATCGCAAAGCTCATCATGGCTGATTTTACCAATAAGCTAAAACATGAATACTACAATTCATCAATACCCCTTATTGAGCCTTTGTCATTCATTTACAGACCCCCCAACTCTTCTGACAAATGCAGACAGTGGCCGTCTAACTTGTATAATTACTCTTACACCCCCTCTATTTTCATATACTATGTGAAACTTGAAAAAAAAATTATTTAAGCCAAAAATAGCCACTAAATATCCTTAAAGTTGCATTCATCATAGAAGAAGAACGAACAGTTTTTGTCATGGTGAATCATATATACATCCCCATTTTTCCACTCAATTATTATCAAGAATTACTATTTCCCTCCGTTTTTTTTTAAAAAAAAATTTCCCCTAGTTATCTCAACAATTCTTCATTTATAACCAAAATTGATTATCTTAATTTTCATGATAGGCAGGCAAAGTATAAAAACATGGAGAGGTGATCACTAATATAATTCAAGTAAAACCAAGTTGTTACTCTCATTTTGCTGATGTTAAAGCATCATGGTCTTCAACCAATTAAGTGCTTCATAAAATACGCAGACATGTTCCACAACATCTATACTATAGAAGATCAGTGTATTGATAGATGGATAATCTGACTTACCTGATTTGCATGTAGGAAGATGTCGGGCATTTCTTGATCTTCCTCCATGAATAGATTATCGGAATCAGATTCTATCTGTGTCATCTTCTTTCTCTCGTGCAAGTTGCAAATCGAAAGAACAAAATAAATATACAGGCCAAGGGAAACTAAAGAAGGATATGTAATAGCTTGTCGTGAAATAAATTGCATGCCGGAGATATGGTGAGACTCCAAATGCAAGCAAAACCACAGGATGTACGAGGTGGTTCAGTTAAGTGCAGTTCGGATCCTCTATGCCACTGTCCGATGTCAAATTCAGTATAAAAGTGACACTGAATTACCACTGAAAAAGTAGCACTGAGGATCCCGTGTGAGTTAAGTGCGCTTCCTATACCTTTTCTTGAACTGCATTTTACAAGTTCCACAAACTCCATATCAGGAACTAACATGTGAAAAGAATGTGAAATTCTTAGAATGGCAATCCTTTAATTTTATAGAATAACACAAAAGTTCATCCTGGAAACATCAGTTAATGTTGATTTGCTTACAGAAAATTTTTCTCAGTGACAAGTTGTGGTGGAGATTAAGAGTTAAGACAACGCTCACAAAATGATCCTTCTGACCGCAGGAATAGCTCTAGGTGGATTTAACTGTTATTGCTGGGCTCTCATTCTTGTTTGGATTGCGGTTTATTTGTCAAAATATATTTACTTACGTCATCATTACAATTTCCAACACACCTTTTTATCTTTTCAATTACCTTTTTATCTCACATACATCACATCACAAAA